CAGGATGTGTTAATTATCACTGGTGACTGGAATGCAAAAGTTAGAAACAAAGAAGAATCACCGGTAGTTGGAAAATTTGGCCTTGGTGACAGAAATAATGCTGGAATTCGCATGGTAGAATTTTGCAAGACCAATGACTTGTTCATCGCAAACACCTTTTTTCAACAACACAAACGGTGGCTCTACACGTGGACTTCACCAGATGGAACACACAGGAATCAGATTGACTACATCTTTGGCAAGAAGCAGTGGGAAAGCTCAATATCTTCAGCCAAAACCAGGCCAGGAGCTGATTGTGGATCAGACCATCAACTGCTTATAAGCAAGTTCAACTTGAAGTCAAAGACAATAAAACAAGTCCAAGAGAGCCAAAATATGATCTTGAATATATCCCTCCTGAATTTAGAGATCATCTAAAGAATAGATTTGATTCACTGAACACCAATGACCAAAAACCAGAAGAATTGTGGGGGGATATCAAGGACATTATCCATGAAGAAAGCAAAAGATCACTAAAAAGTTGAGAAAAAAAGAGATGACCAAAATTGATGACAGAAGAGACTCTGAAAGTTGCCTTTGAGCAGAGAGTAGCTAAAGCAAATGGAAGAAATGATGAGATAAAAGAGCATTTTATCAAATATATTTTAAAGAGCAGCTCGAGCAGACAAAACCAATTACTATAATGAAATGTGCAAAGACCTGGAGTCTGAAAACTGAAAGGGAAGAACATGCTTGGCATTTCTCAACCTGAAAGAATTGAAGAAAAAATTTAAGTGTCGAGTTGCAATATTGAGAGATTCTGTGGGCAAAATATTGAATCATGCAGGAAACATCAAGAGAAGATGGCAGGAATACAGAGTCATTGTACCAAAAAGAACTGGCCAGTCTTCATCCATTTCAGGAAGTGGCATGTGATCTAGAACCAATGGTACTGAAGGAGGAAGTCAAAGCTGCAATGAAAGAATTGGCAAAGAACAAGGCTCCGGGAACTAACGGAATACCCGTTGAGATATTTCAACAAACAGATGCCCCATTGGAGGCACTCACTCGGTTATGCCAAGAGATTTGGAAGACAGCTACCTGGCCAAATGACTGGAAAAAATCCATATTTACACCCATTCCAAAGAAAAGGGATCCCACAGAATGTGAAAATTATAGAACAATATTAATGATATTGCATGCAAGTAAGATCTTACTGAAGATAATTCAAAAATGTTTGCAACAGTATGTTGACAGAGAACTTCCAGAGGTGTAAGCTGGATTCAGAAGAGAAAGTGGAACAATGGATATCATAACTGTTGTCAGATGGATGTTGGCTCAAGGAAAAGAATACCAGAAAGATGTTTACTTGTGTTTTATTGACTATGCTAAGGCATTTGATTGTGTGGATCATGACAAATTATGGATAACATTGAGAAGAGTAGGAATTCCAGAATACTTGATTGTACTCATGAGGAACCTGTTTCTTGACCAGGAGGCTGTCATTCGAATGGAACAAGGGGACACTACATGGTTTAAAATCAAGAAAGGAGTGTATCAGGGTTGTATCCTTTCCCCATACTTATTCAATCTATATGCTGAGCAAATAATATGAGAAGCTGGACTATATGAAGAAAAATGTGGCATTAGGATTGGAGGAAGAATCATTAACAACCTGAGATACGCAGACAATACAACTTTGCTTGCTGAAAGTGAGGATGACTTGAGGCACTTACTGATGAAGGTTAAAGAATACAGTCTGCAGTATGGATTACATCTTAATGTAAAGAACACAAAAATCCTCACAGCTGGGCCAATGAGCAGCATCACAATAAATGGAGAGAAGATTGAGGTTGTCAAAGAATTCACATTGCTTGGCTCTACGATCGATGCCAATAGAAGCAGCAGTCAGGACATTAGACAACGTGTGGCACTGGGAAGGTCAACTGCAAAGGAACTCTTTCAAGTGCTGGGGAACAAGGATGTCTCCTTGAGGACTAAGGTGTGCCTGACACAAGCCATATTTCCAATTGCCTCGTATGCATGTGAGAGCTGGAAAATGAATAAGGAAGACCGAAGAAGAGTTGCTTTTGAGTTGTGGTGCTGGCAAAGAATGCTGAAAGTACCATGGACTGCTAAAAGAACTAACAGATCTGTCCTGAAGGAAGTTCACCCGAAATGCTCCTTGGAAGTGAGAATGGTCAGACTTTGTCTCACCTACTTTGGTCATGTTGTCAGAAGGGACCATTCCCTGGAGAAGGTCATGCTTGGTAAGGTGGAGCGTCGATGAAAGAGGGGAAGGCCTTCAACGAGATGGATTGACATGGTGGCTGCAATGATGGACTCAAGTATAGCAGGGATCGTGGAGCTGGTGTAGGATCAGGCAGTGTTTCGCTCTGCTGTGTATGGGGTCATTGTGACCAGAAATGACTCAATGGCACCTAACAACCACAACATGCAGCTACTGTGTCAGTCCATCTCATTGAGGAAATCTCCTATTTTGCTGACCCTCTACTTTACAAAGTATGTTATCTTTCTCCAGCAGTTTGACCCTCCTCATGACATGTCCAAAGTAAGCGTGATGAAGTCTCACCATCCTCACATGTCTTACATTACAGTTTCTAGCAACCGGTGTGAACAGGAAAATCTGTTCAGTAGTTACATAGTCCAGGCCTGGTCACAAGATACAAATAGTCATCTTCTAGGAGAAATGTAACTTTTTTTGTGCATTAAAGGGATATTTTTAAATGGGATCCTCATAAATAGAATATTGTGTAATGGGATGAACATTCTCTATAATGAACTTAATTAGACAGTGATAAGTTTCAATGGACTTTTTAATTCCTAACTGTATGCAGATGACAGAACAGCAAATGAATGTGTTTTAGGAACATTTATTTTTCTTTAGGCATTTATAATTTCACAAATCTTTGTTAATATAGGCTAATGGAGAGATATTTTATATATTTTACAATACCTGTAAGAACAGATGTGCCCTGTAAGCAATTATCTCTAAATCAAACTCTTGACATCTATTGGCTGATTATAAAGCATTATGAAATCTTTATATGAAATGTATCGCCAATTATGTAAATTGTATGATTTTTTGTATAAAATGCATAAATGCTTAAAATGACTGAAGAGCATGTAACAGAAGAAAAATATTTACTTTATGAGATAAGGAGTGATTTTCTCCCTTATTTATATTACAACTTCAATAACACCAGTGAATTTTTATAATCAGAATTTTAATCACAAAGAATTTTCAATATCCTGCTGCATAAGATTTCTGTATCTTTTCATTTCTAAAAGTTTAATTACAGAAGCTACTTTTTAGCTATGAAACTCATAGAAAAGAGTTGGTAAGGATGTTTCAAGCAATATGGTAATGTTGGTGGCATACTTTGAGAATAAATGGGAGAGTTTCATTCATTTTCTTACTTACTTATTGTTTTAGGTAGTGTGTTAGTTAAGTTTGTGTGTCAACTTGGCTGGGCCTGGTTGAGTGGCTGGGCCTGGTTGAGTGGCTGGGTAGCTGGATGTAGTATTCCCCATGATGAGACTGGTAATCAACTTCATGGTGGAATCTACTGTAAACTGTAAGTAGCTGTCCTAGGCATGTGGTCTACTTCCTATATATAAGGAGAAGCCTTGGGGAATGGTCTCTAGCTTATGGCATGCTTGGACCTTGCATGTAGCAGTGTCATTGTTCAGCAGCCTGCCATGCTCTGTCAACCTTGGGACTCACAATGGACTTGAATTAATGGCCTGCTATGTGGTTTGGTAACATTGGGACTGTGCCACTTTATTATATTATTATGTTAATGTGGTGAATTACATTTTTTTTTTTTTTTGTATTGCTAGTATAAACTCAAGTGAGTTTAGTTTTGAGAGTATAAACTCTGCTTGCTTGTGATGCATTATTCTTCTTATATA